CCCCTCCACCCCCGCCCACTCATCGTTATCGCGATTCTATTTCGCTGATGCACGCTTCGGACTAAGACAACGGCCTTGAATCGAAACCCTTCCAGCCATCCAGCCGGGCGAGGCGGGGCGTGGCGGGGCGTGGCGGGGCGGGCCAGTGGGCTTGCCGCACTGCCCAGGGCGTCACTTCCGCTGACGAGACGCCAGTGCCGCTGCTGTGTTTGCGCGAGACGCCCGCCACACACTGTCTGATCGTGCGCAGTGTATTCTTACAGCATGTTCAATAACGTTCGACTGGGTAAGGTTAGAGGGCGGCAAAAAAACTGAAGGTTTAAAAAGTTAGGGGGGGTGCTCGGATCGAGATGCCACTTGCAAAACTAAAATTTTTGACACCTCACTCAACTTGATCGGACATCGGGAAAAGGTCGCACCACGCTATCAAAGTTTACCATAGATATCTTATGGAAAAATGACCTAAAAAGTAACCTTTTTGGAAAATGGGCTTATCATTGCAATAATTTTGAATTTTGTTTCCAGAAATGAAATCTACACGTCAAAACACACCCAGTGATGTGCCACACTTGGTGTTCCACCAAAGGAGCACCCGCTGAGAGATGCTAATTTATGGATCTTCTAGCCGTTTTTAGTAGAATTTAGCTAAGTTAAGGCCCCACCTGGCCACGGACCCTTGAGTACAACACCAAGTGTGGCACATCGCTGGGTGTGTTTTGACGTGTAGATTTCATTTCTGGAAACAAAATTCAAAATTTTTGCAATGATAAGCCTTTTTTTCAAAAAGTTTACTTTTCAGGTCGTTTTCCCATAAGAGCTCAATGTTAAATTTTGATAGCGTGGTGCGACCTTTCCCCGATGTCCGATCAAGTTGAGTGAGGTGTCAAAAAATTTAGTTTTGCAAGTGGCATCTCGATCCGAGCACCCCCCCCTAACTTTTTAAACCTTCAATTTTTTTGCCGCCCTCTAGGGTAAGGTAGCAGCTCCCGTGTGTACATTGGTATGCCATCGCCCTAGACGGGCTCGTCGTCGGGTAACGTGTAGAGCGACCGAGAGCGACTCATCCACTTCCTTTCACCGGGAATGCGTCTCTGTCTGGGGCCGAGGGGCGGCTGCGTCCGAAAGCACCGATGCGCAGTCGGTAGCGCGCTGCGCTTTGACCCCTGGCGCCGCTCTCTCGCGCCCGCTCCCCCGAGGCGTTTTGCGTCATGGACTGATCGGGCTTTACGGCAGGATTTTGAGACGGTCACTCCCTTACATCTTTGCCGTCTAGAAGTTGTTTGTTACTTCATCATCTTGTTAGTTCTTTTTTGTCGCGTTTCCTTTCTTTTTTCGAAAAGGGGGGAAGATCTAGCGGGGAAGCACACTAGGAACCTGTAGGTTTAAACCTACCTAGGAATTCCTATGGTGCCGGACACGACCGTCTCCCCTCCTACTCTGCCTGGCTGTCAGTGTGATCGAAGTGCTGCTATACTGACTGGTATGGTGAGGTGGCCTTTCATTTTGGCACGATGGTAGATTGATCTAGTTCAATCAACACACACACACTCACATACGGACTCTGGGCATCGGCCGCTTGCCTCACGGAGTTAATCAACGTGGGGAAATACGGTAGCGAGCCAATCACTCCGGAGGTAATTGACCGATTCGTTACAAAGCGAGATGGATGAGCGCTCCAGGCGCCGCCACTGGAGCGCCTGCAGGCTGTCCTGGAGCCGGAGAAGGTCTCTCATTCAGGCAGGACGTGCTGGGACTGCAGCTTCTGGAGTATGTACTGCAGCTCCTGCATGGGGCCGCCGGAGGAGTTCGTGTCCAGGACGCACTAATGTCGATGGATCGGTTCGTCACGCCGCTATGCCTTTCGCAACGCTTCGTTGCGTCACACGCTTATTTAGGCCCCAAAATATCACGCGAAACCGCCGAGCGATTAGCAAAAACGGTTTATTGTTACGCGACGACAGGCGACGCGCCGAGCGGGCGGCGCGCGGCGTGGAGGACGGTTTCGAAATGTAATACCTCAGAAATGTAATTAATTTCGTCGAACGGAAAGTATCGGCGGCGAGGACGCGGCGCGGCTGGGCTTGGGAGCGTTAATCGAAAAGTTTGCGTTGCGTCTGCGGTTTGGAAGGAGAGACGCAGCGTCGGTCGGGGCCTGGATCCTCCAGTGGGAGCCCTTGCTGGAGCTGAGGGACCCGTGGGGTCAGGAGAGAAAGAGCGAGAGAGAGGGAGAGAAGACAGCGAGCGCGTCTTGCGCGTCGTGTCCAGTTGGCATGGGGGCCGTGCCTGGCCGGCTCGGATGTTACTCCCCGCTCATTATGAGAGGCCAGTCTTTGCCCACTCGATTGGCTGTCTGTGCCCGGCTCTACCCTTTGCCCCCGCTGTACGTACGCCCCCCCCTTTCCCCCCCACACTCCGAGGAGTGAGAGTGTGTGTAGAAGAGGAGAGCGGTGCGATGCGGGTCGCGTTCATTAGGGAAAAGGCCAATTGTGTCTGCATACCCATCTACCCATCCATCCAGTTCCACGAACCCCACGTTCCCTAGATATACCCAATGACGTCTATGTGCGTCATAAACCATGTACCGCGCATTTTTCCAAAGGATGTACCACTCTCAAACACTAGCTCAAACCCGTATAGACGGCGGCGCGGGCGCGTTGAAAAAAATACAACAAATAATGAGGAGTCTTTGGTCGGTGAGGCGTGCAAACAAACGGACGGACGGACAGGAGTGTTCATTCGTGCAAGTCGCTCTATCACCGGCCGCACCGCAGTACTCGCCCGCGTCATTTTCACTTCGACCGTGGCGCCGCCGCCTCTCTGCCCTGCTCCCCTCCACCCCTTCTCTTTCTTGCACCTATCCTTTTTTTTAGATTTAGATTGAGAAAGGATTCGCATATCGCTATCTGCGCGTTGCTCTCATGACAAGGGAGCGGGTTCGTCGATTTCAGACGAGGAGCGACACACGTGTCTCTGCGACAGCCTGCTTTTGTTCCCCACTCGGTTCCTTTATTTTATTTTATTTTCGACAATTTTTGTCGCCGTTGTCGGGTATAATTATATCCCGTCGTGTATATCTTGATAAATGTAATCGACCTCGTACGCTGTTGTTGTTCTCGTCCCTGTTGTTGATTTGCCCTCGAAAATGCCGCAACTGTCGTCTGCAGACGGTCGCGTCCACCGTGTGTATGTGGAGAGTGTGTGTCTGTGCGCGCGCCTGCCCGTGGAGTTCGTCATCGCTTGGGCTCTTGTTTATTCCTTAGACGTGCAATTACCAGTCTGCTGATCATTACCCCCTCCTCTGTGTCTGGTCCGCCCACTGAGCCTGTAAACTCGATCCTCCCCTCTCCCTCTCAAATCAACCAACCCACCGTCGATGATCGCCGATCCCTCTCGGTCCAGGGCCGAGCCGAGCACAGCCGGGGCCCAGCCGGGGCGCGGGCGTCGCTCCACGGCGCCGCGGTGACTCGACCGGTCAGCCGGGTGGAGCGGAACTCGAACCGGCCGCCATCTTGGATCGCCAATCACTCAACCAGCGCCGGCGGAGGCGGCGGCGTCACTCAACCGGAGTGACGGGGCGCGCGGCAGATCTAACGAGCGGACCGCGTCAAGGCTCTCCGAGCCCCGCGCCGGTGGTCGAACCCGCCGCGACCTTTCGCCAGCTCCATTTTGACAATTTTTTTTTTTTTTTTTTTTGACATTTTCCAAGACTGCTTTTAACTGTCCCTTATGCCAAAATCAATAGTTTACCCACGTCTAACATTCGTCGAGAAAGCTCCAAAATATTTCTTCTAGTTTTATTTATTACCATGCATGAAAGTATCGCCGTGTGCCCATTAGTATGATTGCTCTACAAATTTAACTAGATCAAGATGTCAGTTACAACTGCACTAGTAAAACAAGTGTGCATAATTTAAACACCAACGAGTGCAAGTTATGATTTTAAACATTACATGGCGTAGCTCAAGTTGCACACCTGGACACACACAAATCTATAGGAACCATATGGTGTGCAGCTGCTATTCTTTTCGTAAGTGTTGAAAGTTCAAACACCAATTGACGCTTAACCCAGTTAAACGCCACAATGTGTTGAGAAAATGCACACGTGAACTTAAACACCAATTGGCGTGCAACATTAAACACTTGTTTTACTAGTGTGCGAGAGCGTTCAGTCTCGGTTTAACCGGCGAGACAATCCAATCAGTTAAAACTGAGAGAGAATTACTACAGTTAAAAATAAAAGACTTTTTCGTTTCTCGATCAGTTTAAACTGACCTACTTTAGTCTCACAGTCAAAACGGATATCTTTTCCTGTAGTTAAATTTGCAGAGTGCGGCATGATATACCTTAAAATACTAGAGTGCGGCATGATATACCTTAAAATACTAGAGTCCATACATTTATACCATTTCCCCTCATCCAATATTGACACAGGAGTACCGCCCCGATAGAATCGAATAACTTTATAACCTCTCATTCTATTTTCCTCCAGGTGTCGTCGAGCGCAGTGACAACGCCCCGATTAGGAGAGAGAATGCTCGAGTGTACTGTGTGCAAAATGAAATTTTCGCAAATGGGTCACCTAAATACTCATC